AGCATTTAATAAATTAAAGCAAATATTAGCTTCAGAGGATGAACTTCTACAGCATCCAGACTACGATAAAGCCTTCGAGCTTACCCCTGATGCACCATCAGTTGATTTAGGTGCAGTATTGTCCCAAGAGGGTAGACCAATAACAATGGTCTCTAGAACCCTAAGTGTGAAGAAAACTACGCTACAAATGAACGCGAACTACTAGCAATTGTTTGGGCTTTACAAACATTACGTCACTACTTATATGGTGTTGGAAACCTAAAAATCTTTACAGCTCATCAACCTCTCACATTTTCAATATCGGATAAGAATTTTAATTCAAAAATTAAAAGGTGGCGTGCATTTATAGATGAATTTTCCCAAAATTCTTCTATAAACCAGGGAAAGAAAACAAAGTAGCAGATGCCTTATCTATCAATATATTAATAATTTGACTTTAGACGGAAATACAGTCCACAGTGAAGAATCCTCATCTGATATAATTAAAACAGTAAACACCCCTGTAAACCAATTTAAAAATCAACTAATTTTGTCCCATTACAATTCAAATAATAAAACACTAAAATCCTATTAAAGAGATTTGTACGTCACACAATAAATTTTAAAAACACAGAATTTCTGTTACAAATTTTAAATAAATATAAAAAAACCAGGCTTTTCGTTTCGGATAACGAAAAAGTATTCCGATCGAATGCATTATCCACTTTTTTACGTGATCATTTCGAAATCACGCAATTTTCCTACCAACACTCCATAGCGAAAGCAACAGCCAAGTTGATTGCTAGATGTTGTAAGGCTCAGCAGCAAATAGCTGATATAATCGAGCTCATACTACTAGCCACTATTAAATACAATAACACCGTACATTCTGTAACAGATTCCAAGCCGGTTAATTTGCTTGACTCTAAAGATAGTAAAACAATTTCAAAAGTCAAAGAAAAAATTATATAATCTCAAGAAAAACTACTAAGGAGAGCTAATAGAGATATACATCGTACAATCTATAAACCGGGAGACGTAGTCTATGTAAAAAGAAATAAACGATTAGGTAACAAGTTTAATAAAATTTTTGAGGAAGGGACTGTCGAATGAGACCTAGGCACTGCTGTCCTAATCAATAGCAGAAAAATTCATAAAAATAATATGCGATGATTATTTTCTTTTGTTTTTTTTATTAGGCTATGTTACTACTATTTTGTAAATTTGCAACATCAAGGATTATAAACTACACACCAGCACATTTCATAACGGTCACCCATGAAAACGCCGCAATATATGAAAACTATTTTTTCCTGGTACACTCAACCAACTTATCAGAATATGAAGAAATGGTTATGGACAACACAAATTCTTTTTATCACGACGTCTACAGTAGAAATATCCTGGTAAAGCAAACACAGGAAATTCAACGAATCATAAAGACATTGCGGACCACACGTCGATTTGCAAGATCGATCGACTTTATTGGATCAGCGGTAAAATTCGTAGCAGGAACCCCGGATCATGACGATTTCCAACTGTTATTAACCAAACAAAATATGCTTATAGAAAATAATAATAGACAGACAAACATTAACTCTGTAATACAGAACCAAATTAGCGAACTCACAAACAGAATAAATAACTTAAAGTCAGCAAAAAATTCTGATAATTCTATCTCGAAAGAGGAAGAAATTCTAAAACAATATATTATAAATAGAAATAATTATGTTATCAATCATTTAGATACTTTAACTCTTTCCGTGGTCTTGGCAAAAAGTAATATAAATTATCCACTTATCTTAGATAATGTTAAAATAAATGATCTGATTGACTCTGAAAATGTACCACTTAGATTAAATAACATCTTAAGTGTATCCAAAGTAAAAGTTTTACAAAATAATGAAATCCTTTTATATGTAATAGAAATTCCTAGAATAGATAAATATTGTAATTGAAGACGTTCATAAATTTAATATATCGGGTACATTCCTGATAACATTCAAAAACGAAATTACCATAAACGGAACAAAATACAAAGTCACAAAAAAGATAACTGATTTCGAAACTTTCTTTGCCATATCTTCACAGAATACATATTAAGAATACGAATCACATCTCAGCACTAAGAAAAGAAATACTATAAGATCCAAAAACGAAACTGGTGGCTCACTATTTTACTTGTGTTAATTCTTGTAATAGCATTAACAATATTTCTAATGGTTCGATCATGCAGAGAAAGAGTGAAATCAAAAACACTATTTGATGATATCATAAATCAATTAACTGGTCGGAACGGGGACGTTCCGAATTTAAGAGAGGGAAGAGTTAATGCCGCTGACACTTAATATCACAAATACTTAATTAAGCTAAGTTTGCGGCGTCGGCAACGTAATTCATATCATGCTAAATAACATGCAGGTGCTACTACAATAATCATTGCCCCTACCTGTTGCAGATACAACGTGCATCACAGACGATCGTACTTCTCGTGGGAAACTACATGAGCAACAGTTCCTGTTGATGCTGCAGATTTTATTATTAAGTTAGAATCAATGTAAGATTTTCTTTCAGAACATTTCTTTACCAAGCTTAATAATTTAAATAGTAAGAAATAGTAAACGACTCATTAATTTATATAATTGTTTGAAAATTCTGCGGTGGTGTTACAGTAAAAAATTGGAAATTATTATACATATATTTGGAGTAGTAAAGAAATCGCACAGATATATTATAAATATTACGTAGCATATAGATATATATATTTATGACATGTACATACCCTAATAATTCAAGATAATTCTGTTCTCCACTAGGTACCCCAAGTAGAACCACACAAAATTTCGCGGCACTCATTAGCATAATCCACGACGCTTTACCAAGCTTAATAATTTAAATAGTAAGAAATAGTAAACGACTCATTAATTTATATAATTGTTTGAAAATTCTGCGGTGGTGTTACAGTAAAAAATTGGAAATTATTATACATATATTTGGAGTAGTAAAGAAATCGCACAGATATATTATAAATATTACGTAGCATATAGATATATATATTTATGACATGTACATACCCTAATAATTCAAGATAATTCTGTTCTCCACTAGGTACCCCAAGTAGAACCACACAAAATTTCGCGGCACTCATTAGCATAATCCACGACGCTTATTTTACAGAGTTCACGGCGCTTGTTCACAGAATCCACGACGCTCATCCATCGAATCCACGGCGCTTGTTTACAGAATCCACGATTCACAGCCTATCCAGTTATCGCCGGCATAGTACATATATGTAATTAAAACAATATATATAATATATCTAACGGATATGTCAACCACAAATAATTTATAACACGCAGAAAGCATGATGGCAACATGTTGTGTCCACCTATTGTGAAAATTCGCGCCCTCAGAAGCCGCTCATGGCACGGTGGCTAGCCCGGTATGCCCGCCGGTGATGAGGTGGGATTCTTGGTAACTGAGGTTACGCTACAGATGATAACAAAAAAAAATAATTCGTGCCATGTTTTATTCTAACAAAAAAAAACACCTATAATTTCTTGCTATTTCCTAATAACTATTTACCTCCATAACTAATTCAATACTTTCACTTATAAAACTATTACCTATTTAATTCATATTTCATTCATTGTCTGAACTTCAACATTTCAAAATAAAAATAAATAAATAAAAACAGGAAAAAAAGAAAATTGCTATCCAAGCTACAGGTTCGACCTCTGAGCAACCCCGCAGCTTCCATTTCTCCTAATATTGCACGTTCACTGCCACAGTCTACGTCCTTGGCAGCACCAGCCTGAACAGCTATGTTTACCTCTAACTCGGGAAACTTCGGTAAGATTTCCGGTAATGACTGGCAATTGTTATTATAGTGAAACGACCAAAATTTTTCCAACTAAAAATTTGATCATTATAACACAACACAACCACCGAACACACAACAAATAACACTCGCTTAAATTTATTAAACCGAAGGTATCTGTAACAAAAAAAAGCGTGAATTAATAATTAAAGACATTAAGTTAAACCAACTCACCCAAAATCTACTACGGCAACAACAAAACTTTGCCACCGGAAATTTTCTGGAAAAGAAGTGGAAAATATGATTGGCTAACGTATACACAAATATGAGTTAATGGAAGAATGTTGTACAAAGCAGGGTTCAGAAAAACACTGTGCTGTGCACAAAAATGCAAAACACCACGCACAAATGTTGTGCGATTCTAAATAAAATTTCACACCACAAATGTGTTGTGCGAAAATTTTTGTGCACATCTTAAGTGCCACATCTTGTGTGCAGTGTGCAGGGATGCAGTCAGGATTTCTTTATCGAGAATGACGTGTTTTTTTTGCGCTCCAATAGTTTTGTTGTTTTAACTATATACGATGCGTGATTCTTTAAATCTTTTGATTTAAACGTTTGTGCGAAAGAACTGTGATCACCGTCGGAGATAGTTGGTCACATTCTCGGACACTTATAGTGGTGTTAAAATAATAATTCTTTTAATTTGCTTGAGACAGTACGGTAGTGTTTTGCCGGCTCCTTTTTACTTTTTTGTTGTTGTGGATTTTAATTTTTAATCTCCACTTTGATACTATCAGCTGATCGAACAGTGGATTGTAAATAATTAAATATTTTATTTTAATTTCTTTTATTTAATAAAATTTTGTGCGAAGGAACTGCGGACTTGTATGGTCGCGCTCCTGGACACTTTGCCAAAATAAAGGTTTTCTCTCAAATTATTTCTGATGTTAAATTTACGGTAGTGAATTAATTTATTTATTTGGCGGTTGTTTTATTCTTTTGTTTGTGGAACCTGTTTAAGCAGTGAATCTAAAAAAGCTGCATTTAATCTAAGCTTCAAACCTTTGCTTAGAACATTATTATAAACAAAAGCTTTTTAGTAGCATATACAGTACCCCAGCAGTAAATTGCAATAGACATCCCAGTGGGAAATAATAACATACCTGAGTAAGTACAATAGTAATTACAAGTAATTATAATGGAAAATCCAGGTAAAAATGTGACGGAGGATGAGGTACCTAATGCGAATGCAATTAAATCGCATAGATCACCACGCGGTAAAAATGGCCCAGTCGAAAATAAAGGTAATGCCTGCGCCTCAAACGCTAATGTAGCAATTAATTTGCCAGAAACGACGACAGCAATTCTCAATACAGGGATTTTAGATAGGAGGCTCTCAATTACAGACACAGAGGAGCCTTTTGATAATTTAGAAAGCAAGGTTCAGGCACTTGTTGGTATTATGAATAGCCAGCGTCATATAAATCAAACAATGAAAGACCTAGTAGCAAGTATATCACAGGAGATTAAAAAAGCTATTGCTAAATACAGAAGCCCAGGCCTGTCAAGGACAACAGTGGACGCGCAGACCCAATGTGGTAACAATGAAGTAAAGAAGCGTTTAGTAGAGAAGGCTAAAACAGTGAAAAATCAATTGCATCAGATGTCTGCACCTAGTAGTTTGCCAATAGTCAATATTACGAATAGTGAATCGCAGCCGAAAATAAATGATATACGCAAAACAACGTGGACTAAAGTCACTCGTAATAAGAGCAAAGAAGCACCTGCCAATGTAAGAGAGAAGTCCACACGTCCAGAAGCGATAATTGTACAAAAAAAGGGAGAAGCAAGCTATGCCGACATGCTCAAGATGTTAAAGTCGAACTCTGAACTGGCAGATTTGGGTTCAACCGTAAATAAAATACGAAGAACTGCGAAAGGCGAACTCATGTTGATTCTTAAGCGCGGACCTGAAGTGGACGCAAACAAGCACAAAGGTAACATCGCAGAAGTGCTTCATGATTTCGCTGACATACATGTAGTAAGCCAACAAACCACCATTGAATGCCGTGACTTAGACGAGACCACAACAGTTTCAGACGTTTGTACCGCCATTAGAAGCCAATTCCCTAGTATTGAAAGTATGAAGCCAGAAGCGGTAAAAGTAATTCGCCCCTCACGGTACGGGACACAAAATGCGAGAATCGTTCTTCCCACTCGCGACGCTAAAATTCTAATAAATGCTGGGCGCATTCGGATTGGCTGGGTAGTATGTAGAATTAGAGAGTTCCTACAACCAACTCGATGCTATAAATGTCTAGAATTTGGACACGTTTCAAAATACTGCAAAAATGATACCAATCGAGCAGGAGCGTGCTTTAGGTGTGGTAATACAGGTCATAAAGCCAAATCTTGCGACAAGACACCCAGGTGTCTGCTATGTCCTGCCGATAATAACAATCATGATATGTTAAATAAAATCTGTCCAGTCTATCAAGCCGCTTGTAGAAAATTACATATACATGGTTAAGTGTCTTTAAATCAACTTAAACCACTGTGAAGTTGCGCAAGACCTACTGATGTTAACAGCAAATGATCTAACAGCAGAAGTTCTCTTAATTTCAGAACCATTTAACGTCCCAGACTGGGATAGTAGGTGGTGCAGAGATCTGAGCGGTAAAGCGGCAATACACATCTGTGGCCAAAAAAGCTATGAAATTATTGAGAACAACCAGCATAATGGCTTCGTATACGCAAAAATAGATGGTACACATTTTTACAGCTGTTATGTTTCACCTAACGACACCATAGAGGACTTCAATACTATGCTTGATCACCTCGTAGAGAATGCAAAACACAAAACGCCATTAGTAATAGCAGGGGACTTTAATGCATGGTCAACTTCCTGGGGCAGCAGACAAACAGAAGAGGTTTTGCTCTCTTGGAGGCTTTCGCTTCACTAGATATTTTTCTGCTTAACGATGGCATTAGCTATACTTTTGATAATGGCCGTTTCACATCAACCATTGATCTTACATTTGGAAGTAGAAGTATTTGTAAAAACAGTCTATGGAAAGTGGCAGATGTGTACACAGCTAGTGATCATAAATTGATTATATTTGAATTAACACAAGACCGTATAAGTGGAAAATATGAATCTACAAGGAAAGCACAAGCAATTAAATGGAGTACTAGTAAATTAGATAAAGCAATGGTTGACCTTCTTGCTGATGAAATAATTCTAACTGGCAGTTCCGCGAATAGTAAGGCTGCAAGCCTAATGCAATCACTTAAAAACATCTGTGATGCATCAATGCCTCGAAGAAATGAAAGAAAGCATCATAGACCTGCACCTTGGTGGAATGAAGAAATTGGAAACCTGCGGACAGAATGTCACAAATTACGCAGAGTTCAACAACGGGCAAGAGGGCATAACAATTTTGAGCAACTTAACTGGCATTTTAAGGAAAAGCGGAGAGAGCTCCGTAATTCTATTTTACAAAGCAAAAAGCGGCTGTACAACACCTTGCTAGATGAACTGTCAACTAATCCCTGGGGAAAAGCATACCAACCTGTCAAAAAGATAATGAAGGGAACTTCACCACCAGCTCCTACTAATTTTCGTTTCTTAGAAGAGATCGTACGGAACTTGTTCCCACAAGGCTCTGGGATAACACACATACTGACCGATGACGACGTCCAAGTTAATTTAATTACTCCAAGCGAAGTTCTTGAAGCCGCAAAAATCATTAAGCATACGAAAGCACCTGGCGTTGATGGTATCCCAAATGGCGCGCTTAAACAAATCGTATATAGAAGGCCAGAACTGTTTGCGGAAGTATTCTCATTGTGTCTAGTAGAAGGTGTGTTTCCAAAACCGTGGAAAGTACAACGACTAGTCCTTATCCCTAAAAGAGGGAAGCACTTACATGGATACTACTGGAAAGCTATTTGAAAAACTTATTGCTACCAGATTGGAACAGTACACAGAAGGACCAAATGGCCTGTCAATATGGCAACATGGTTTCAGGAAAGGCCAGAGTACAATAAATGCTATAGCAAAAGTGCATAATATAGCCCAAAATGTGCTGGATGGAAAAAGATGGAGAGGCGGCAGCAAAGAATACTGTGCTATAATCACGCTGGATATCAAAAATGCTTTCAATTCAGCGTATTGGAACGCAACAATAGAAGCACTAGCAAAACTGTAAATACCGGCATATCTACTTAGAATGATCATAAGCTACTTCAACGACCACATTCTAATGTACGACACGAACGACGGTGTGAAGACATATTTAGTGTCAGCAGGAGTTCCACAAGGCTCAGTTTTAGGCCCCATTCTCTGGAACGTAATGTATGATGGCGTATTTAATGTAGAAAAACCAACTGGAGTGCAGTTAATTGGTTACGCTGATGATATTGCAATTGTAGCGGTTGCAAAAACCATCAACGAGCTTGTAATGAAATGTGATAGCACCATCGTAGTGGTCAAACTCTGGCTTGAGTCAATGGGCCTGGAATTATCAGAGCACAAAACCGAAGCAGTTCTTCTAAGTAGTAGAAAAAGAATAGAATTTATTGACATACATGTTGGCGAGCTTTCTATCAAATCAAGCTCGGTAATTAATTATCTGGGTGTCAAAATAGATCAAAGGCTTAACTTCAAGGAACATCTGAACTCTGCTGGTGACAAAGCAATTAGAATCGGTGCAGCAGTTGCAAGATTAATGCCAAACATTGGTGGTCCAAGATATGCAGGTCGAAGACTATTGGCATCAGTGTCGACTTCAGTAATGATGTATGGCGCACCAATATGGTATCCCGCAGCCTTCAGTTTATCATATACAAGATCTTTGTTGTCAACTCATAGATTAGCATCATTAAGGGTATGCTGCGCGTTTTGTACAGTCTCCGAAGTAGCTATAAACGTCATTGCTGGACGAATACCAATAGACTTACAGGCTAAAGAAGCTGCAGCTCTGAAAGATCTCAAATCACAAGAGTGTCTTAGCCGAAACTACAAAGATGAGGTACGAAGTCAAATATACGTACAGTGGCAACAACGGTGGATTACATCAACAAAAGGAAGATGGACATACAATCTTATTCCATCAATTGCTGCCTGGACCTCAAGGAAATATGGTGAACTTAATTACTATGTTACACAGTTTCTCACAGGGCATGGTTGTTTCCGAGAATATTTGTTCAAATATAAACATGCTGATGACCCCTTTTGTTTGCATTGTGGTAAAGTGGTAGAAGGCGTTGAGCACATACTGACAACTTGTATACGTTTCACACGTGCTAGAGAAGCATTAGAAAGATTAATGGGTAACCATGTTACATGTCATAGAGTCGTACAATACATGTTGTCCTCTAAAGATGCCTGGGAACAAGTTAATCATATAATTACAGCAATCATGCAACAACTGCGACGAGATGAACGACAACACCAAATGAGAGTAAATGGTTGAGAAATAGAGCGTTAGTGCTCGCCCTGTCCTCGCGAAGTAATACCTAGCTGGTGGTCCCGCGGGACGTTTTCTAAAGGGCAGTGTTATTTATAGGGGTTAAGGTTTAGTCCGTAGGCGTACTGTGTCGCAAGTTTGGCATATGCAAGAGCATCGTACCT